ATCCTAAGTACCTGGGATTGCAAGTTTGAGACATTGTGCCTGGCCACTGTTTTTTTTTTTTTAATAAGAGGGGTCTTACTATTTTGCCCAGTTTGGCCTTGAACTCCTGTGCTCAAGTATCCTCCTGTCTCAGCCTCCTAAATAGCTGGGACTATAGTTGTACACAAATGTGTCTAGCTTCCCAAATTTTCTCAATGAAAAATCTCAAATGTACAGAAAAGTTGAAAGTCTAGCATAATCAACACCCATATGTCACCATCTTGAGTCAATAGTTGTTAGTTTGCTATATTTGCTTTAACTAGATATGTATGCATTTATTTTTTCTGAATCATTTTACTTATTTATTTTTAAACTAAGCCCATTTAATCCCGAACTTTTTTTTTTGGGAGGGTGGTGGTACTGGGTCTGAATCTACGACTTTGCACTTACTATGTAGGCAGTCTGCCACTGAGCCATGCCCCCAGCTCTGAACCATTTTAAAGTAAGTTGCAGAGCTGAATGTATGGCTCAAGTGGTAGGGCAGCTGCTTTGAAAGCACAAAGCCCTGAGTTAAAACCCAGTCCCATTTAAAAAAAAAGTAAATTGCAGACACTGTGACACATCATCCTAAATTCTTCAACACGTACTTCCTAATAATAATTCTCTAATAGTCTGTAATATCCAGCTCATATCAAAATTACCCCCAGTTCTCATAATTTTTATATTTGCAATGCTGGGGATTGAACCCAGGGCCTCCCACACATGCTAGGAAAGAGCTACCATTTGAGCTTTTCCCCCCAGACCTTTTTTTTTGTGGTCCTGTGGTCTGAACTCAGGGTCTACACCTTGAGCCACTTCACCAGCCCTTTTTTGTGGTGGGTTTTTGGAGATAGGGTCTCTCAAACTATTTGCCAGGCTTTGAACCTCGATTCTCCTGATCTCTGCCTCCTGAGTAGCTAGGGTTACAGGCATGAGCCACCGGCACCCAGACCTTTTGTTTTTGTTTCAGAGATAGGAGCTCATTAACCTTGCCCCAGTTGGCTTTGAACTCACAATCCTCCCCTGTAAACTGGGATTACAGGTATGTACCACTACACCCAGATCCAATAATTAACTGTAAAAAAAATGTGCTACACAATAGTTCTTAACATAGTAATTTTCTGACCTGACTACCACCAGGGAAGCTTATCACTGAAAGGATATTCAACAAACTAAAGGATAAGTTCCCATCTGACCTTGGGACTAAACACCATGACTGACCCTGAGTAGAAGCAATGGAAGAAATGTGAAGGAGACAGTTTTGGGAGGAAGGATGTTTATACTCCAGCATCCAACTAGACATGCTGGCTCCACTGCAAGTGGGATTAGGTAGAGCGGGCAGTGCAATGTCATTCTCTTCCTTTACTGATACTCAGTTGCAGAAACAGCCATGTTGGCCTTAGCCCCCTGGCCTAGCATTTGTCCTGGGAGTCATCACCATCACCCTCCAAACCACTGAGGTGAGCTTCAAGGCCCAGCATGGCTAATGGCTGCATCTTCCATCTTGTGTCAGGATGGATTGAGCTGGTGGTCCTACAGCCCCTTACATGGCATTTGCTTTTACTCTTATTTAGTTTAAACATATAGTAGGCACAAAGGTACATAAGAATCACTCTATTTTTTACTAATGGCTGCATAATATTCTATATCATGCATGTGCCATGTGCCAAAGTTTATTCAATAGTTCTCTACTAATGAATATTCAGATTATTTTACATTATGATATTATAAACAATACTTACTGAATAACTTTTTAATCCGTGTTTTTTTTTGTCAGTACTGGGGTTTGAACTGAGGGCCTCACACTTGCTAGGTGAGCATTGTACTACCTGAGCTACTCCACCAGCATTTTTTTTTTTGAGACATTCTCACTGTGTTGCCCAGGTTAGTCCAGAATTTGCACTCATCCTGCCTTATCCTCCTGAGTGCTGGTATTACAGGTGTGTTCCACCATTCCTGGCACACAAATGATTTTATACTTGGTATTTTGAACTTACAATGTGAAAACTAGAGTGCCTTAGAAAAGGAGAACAATTGAATAGTGAAACTGTTAGAAGTTTGACCATTACGTAGTAATCTTGGCAGTCAGGATTCAAAACCAACAGAGTATACTGTCAGGTCTGGAAGGAGCCATCTGGTTCATCTCTGTTGTTTTAATAAGGAAAATGAGGCCCAGAGAGGTCAGAGCCTATCCAAGGTTACATATCAAGGTGGTGACAGAACGAGGTCTGACCAGACCACTGAACCACACTCCTGTGTGCGCCTTTGCCTCAGCGCATGTCCGAGGATGGTGTTTGAGAGGGTGTCTGGACACAGTGCATGCGAGAAAAGGAGGGAGGAAGAGTTCTGAACTAGAGGGCCAAGGACACTGGTAATTTTTTTTATTCATCTGTGCATACAATGTTTGGGTCATTTCTCCCCCTCCCCCCTACACTGGTCATTTTTGGAGAAAGGCTGGGAGGTAGCCCTGAGGGACAGGTAATGCAGCAATACATGACAGAAATTAAAAACAACCGCAAAAAAAACTTTCTAATGTGTAAGTTTCTAATGTGCAAGATGAGTTTGGAGAGAGGAAAAGCAGCCATAAGGTGAAGGGAACCCAGAAATTTCTGAGTATCCTGGGAAGGCCTTTTGAAGGAGGACTTTAGAAATAAAGCATTTCAAGCCAGAAGCTGCTTCTCTCTGAACTGTGGTCCTGTCTGGGCTCCTTCACCAAGCCAACCTTAGGAAGGACTGATTATCTCTCTAGAAAGAACGAGACTCCAGTGTCTGCCCTACAGAGCCAACTTCAGGACAGAGCAGGGCCCTCTTCCAGAGCCCATACGATAGACTCGTTCCCTGGGGAGATCCCTTTGGAGTGGAAGGATGACCACATTAGCAATCTCTTTACTTACCCTTGTCATGTAACAGGCTGATACTTCACCCACAGAACCTGGGAAGAAAGGACTGGACTCTAGAACTCGGGACTCTGAGAGTCAAAGGGTGGCAAACTGGCTGGGATCCTAGGGAAGCACTCCTTCAGAAGGGCTGGGGCAGGGGTCTTCTCTCATTTCACCTAAGTTCTGAACAGCCCCATCCTCTGGAAGAAAACTTTCAACATGGAAGCATTTCCTGAGCTGGGATAGCTCTGCTGAGGTCTGGCCCATTTCAAAATGTGGCATCAGCAGAGTGCTGCTCAGCCAATGGAGAGTGCTGGGGGGAAGACAAGTGGGCTTTGTAATGCTTTGGGGTCTCTTACCTCAGCTTGAACAAGCACAGCTGGCCAAAAGCAAAGTAGTAATAAAGGCAAAGCTTACTCACCTGTCACATCCCAATCTTAGTTCCACTCTCTTCCACCCTCATCCACATTCCATAACGTCCCCTGGGGTCCCACCCTGCTGTCATTTAGTTTTACAAAGAATGCAATTTATGGGAGATCTCTCTCACTAAGTACCTATATTCTAAAGGAACAGTCTGTAAGGCCCAGAGGAATGACCCCAAAGCTATGTAAGGTATTCTAAAGCAGTCTTCCCTCTGGCACCTCATCCTCAAAGCTCCTCACACATAGACAGGACATCTACCCATTTAAGCCTCAATTTCCCCAGCAATAAAAATTAGCAGCAAAATCAAGTTATTTTCCAAGTTCCTTCCAACTTTGATGTATGAGATTTTAGAGTTTTGAGAATCTATAGCCTCCCATTCTGAGAGCACAGGGCTGGCCAGCTCTTGTTAGGAGGCAACTTGTCTGTGGTTTGGCACCACTGCCCAGCAGGCATTTATTAAATCAGTGGGATGTGGTCCCTGCTGGCCTGGAAGAGAACATTAAGCTCCAAAAACTTCCTGCAGCAGGCGGCCTCCTTTGGAGAGTGCTGCTCAGAGGGGCGAGGAACAAAACCATTTAGATCCTTGGCTGTGTTCCAAGATCCTGTTTGCTAGTACTTCTGCCCTGTCTGCACGGAGAACCAGTGACTGGAAACATCTGGAATCCTGCTTAAGACAGGCGACCTCTCTCTCCTTCCTTTGGGGTGGCTGTTCTTGACTCTGGTAATCCAAGTTGACCTTTGCCAATGCCCTTTCCCTTCCAATCTTCTGCACTTCATTGGGCAACAACTCTTTAATAAAATCCACATGAACCCAGCTGCTAACAGCTTCTGGAAGGACTACAAGATCTAACACCTGCCCCTGCATTCCTTGAGCCCTAGTAGCAAGGGAAAAGAGGGCTGAGACCCAACTCTTGCACCTCTGTGTCTTCTAGTGGAATTGTAGAGAAAGGGAGTAGGCATGGGGAAAGAAACGATGAGAATCTGCTGAAGATGCGGAAGGCAGCTTCAGGTAAGGAATGCACAGTTGTAGTGCCGTGATGCTGGGTGGCCCAGCAGAGCTCTGTGAGCCTGGGCTTGCCTCATTCCCAGTAACCTTAACCATGTTGACAAGACTTATCACTCTGAAACAGGCCTAGGCTGAGAAATCAGAGTGCATGTTACTGACCTAATAGTTCTTCGGCCTCTGTGACCTGGGGAGCCAGAAGCTGTTAGCAGCTGGTTGCATGTGGATTTTGTTAGAGGACTGTTGTCCAATGAAGTGCAGAAGATTGAAAGAGTAAGGGCTTGGCAAAGGTCAACTGGGATTACCAGCAGAGTTCCTTAATCTCCAATCATTTAAGGAAATATTTACTGAATACCTACAAGATACGTGCCTGGTGCTAGAGAGGATACATCTGTGAGTAGGACAAACTCAATTTCTGTACTGTAGTCCCACTCACTTGGAAATCCTGACTACAAGTTGTAGTTTTAGGGTCACTTGGTGGGGGTGGGATGCTTGGGTTCCATGGAAGGAGGGCCACTCTAGCAGTACTAGGTCTCTCCCAGTTGACCACCATTCCTTAGCTTTTCTGGGGTATAGTGTTTAGGCACAGGATTCCCTCTGGTTAAATTCAGAGCTCTGATTCACTTTAGCTTCCTTCTCCCTGCCAATGGCAAGAGTCCAAGGAATAAACAAACAAGTTAGAAGGATAGATAAGCTGTTTGAGATTTATTTATAAAGTACAAAGATGCACTTACTAGGGCTGGCCTTTTTAAATTATGATTTCTCCTTGTCTTTTTGCTAAGCTAAAATTCTTTCATGCTCTCATCTGAGAGTCCTGGGATGATTTCACTAATCTTTCTGCTCTTGGCTGTAATGAGCCAAAGACCAAGCACATCCTTCCCCAGACTGGAGAGTGGGTTCACCTCAGAAGGCCCTTTAGGATGTTAGGGAAACAAATGACTCTGCTCCATTCAGCTCAGGACACTGTGGAGCAGAGAAACTGGTGTCCTTCTTGGAGTGCTGCCTTCATCTCCTTGAACTGAGCCAACTGGCAGGCTTCATCCAGCCCTAGCCAACGGTAGGCTTGGTGCTCATGGGAGAGGCAGATCTCCACGTTGTAGTCCTTCACCTCTGCCAGCCAGTAAATAACTGTTTTAGGCTTCTCCCTGGCCACATAATTGAGCTCCTTTCTGAACCCCTCAATGATGGTCAGCTGGCTTGCTTTTATGCCTGCTTCCTCCTGAGTCTCCCTCAGGGCTGTTTCCAAGTCATTCTCTCCCGGGTCCACATGGCCTGGTTAGGAGAAAAGAGTGAGAAAAAGGAGGAAGTCTTCAATAGTACTCAGAGCTGTATTTTTCCAGATTAGATGATTTAAAGATAGGGTCTTAGGTGACTTTTCTAGGAGTTCCTGGGCAAAGGAAGTCCGGAGATTAGCAATATCCTAACAGGCCCAGGAAGGGGTGCAAGACAGGTAAGATCTGGTTCTCAGGATCTGAGCAACCCCTTCCCACTTCATCTTCTCTAGAGAGAGTGAACAGATTATGTTGTCTGGCGAGTCAGGTGTAGAGTACTGCTTCTCTACGGTAAATGAGATGGCTTCCCACAAACCCCTGGGCTTTCTTACTCTTCAGAGCGTTCTTCCTCTCATGTTCTCAGGGAATACTTTGCCCTTGGAAATCTTAAAGTAATTTTTCCAAGGAGGGCCAGACCTTTCTTGGCAGGGTGGGGGCTTGCTGCACAGGGAGTTCTTTGCCTACAATACAGTGAGGATTTAACACTGTCTACAGTTGGGCCCAGAAGCCCCACAGCCAATAGACAGGCTCGAAACCCTGCACTGCTACACCAGCAGCTGTTTCCAAGTAGCCATCAAGGCTTTTTCAAATTGTTTTCATCTTTTTAACTGAGCAAGGCCAGATTTCAGTTTCATAGGGAAAGTACTGATGGGAACTTAGACTAAGGACAAGCTGAGAGCCAGTTCTAAGAAAATTTGTTGGCAAGACTCAAATCCAAGCTGCCAAGAAACTGCTGTAGGAGAACTTGAAGCTCTACAGTGTAGAGCAGACCTCAGATTTACCCCTAAGGCCTTTCCCCAAAATTCTTAGCTTGCCCAGAAACGCCCAGGAGCACTGGGGAGGGTTCTGGTAACCTCTGTCTATTTATGGCTCTGGCAAGTTGCTCGTGCCTCTTGGTTCAGGAACTGTTGGAAAACTGTTCCCCTCTTGGTGTGGAGATGAAGCTACACCCTAGCAGTTCTCCTTCCTAAGGAGTTGGATAGCAGGGCCCTAAGTCAGTTGTTGTTGAACAGAAAACAACCAGGAACTAAGCACTTAACCCATTTTAGCTCATGGCTCTTGGGGAGTTTTCTCTGCATAGCACCTCCAATCGTGTACACAAAGACAAATAAGTAATGCACTGGAGAATGTGGGGAGGATGGGAGTATCTGAGCACACTCTCCCAAGAGAAATTATTCAGTTTTCTGCCCATGTATGATAACAGGGTAACTTTTCCCCAAGCCCAAGCGGGAAATGATTAGGAGAGGTCCTTTGACATCTTTTAGTGAGAGGAACCATGCAGTGTGACTTAGGTGATCAGGAGATAAGTGTGAATATTCCTATTTATACTATTTGTGACACTTCTATCTTTTTCACCTTGTTTCTCCCCAGTGCAACTCAAATGTGCAAAAACTTATTTTCTGTTCCCATTTCCTTGTTTTCTTCCAACCTTGAATCTTTGTCTACCTCCTGATCTCGTCTGGGCATTGTTTACACTGGGGTCCTTATCCCAGCGGGTATCAAAGTCACAGTAGGTCCCTACCCACTGACACCATCCCAATGACCTCAGCCAAGGATGGCTTCTTTCCCCTATTTCTCCCTACACAGCTTGGTTTCTTTTTCAAGACAACCTGAGGGGATCTTTCTTACTCTCAGAGATGGTTTCAGGAATGCTGGCGCCTACAAACAGATCTTGGCCTGGTCTAAGGCTCCAAGCTATTAGTCTTCATTGTTCTGCCTTCTGGAGACCTGACCAACTCCACCCTGGGTTCTAAGTAATGGACTCAGGGCAATAAGTGGCTGCTCAAACTGAAACCCAAAGGTCTCTATGATCTTCACAGCCTCCTGGTCTGAGAAGGGCCTTCCCCTGTCTCTCACTCCTCCACTCTGGTCAGAGCATACAGATGAATCTATGGAACCCGCCTTCTCTATTCTTCTAACACAAAACACAACCATATTCAGGTATACTCCAGAAGTCATACTCTCTTGAGTATGTAGTTCAAAAAAAAAACCTAGTGATGGTAATACTGAACCCTTAAGGAATTTGATTAAATGAAATCAGAGAAAGGACTGGAAGAAAGTTTGGGATTTTTTTTAGTCAACCCCTTCTTTGACAGAATAAATACTCAAAACCCAGAATAATGGCATATGACCCAGTCATTACTCAACCTCAACATCCCTAATACCCAGTCCAGTGGGTTTTCTCCCATACAGTCATTCACCACAGAGGCTGGCGCTCTGGTGAATGATAGTCACAAAAACATCAGGTACTGCTTCTGCCCTGGGATTCAGTCACAAAATTCTATTTCCAGCTCTGCTCTGGTCTGGAGAAAGAATCAAGGGCTCCTCCCTACCCCGCCCCCTCCCCCTGCACAGTCACTGGAAAACAGCCTTGTGGGGGACTGGCAGAGTGGATTTATGAGCAACACTTGGCATTTCCCCGAGAGTCAACCCCTTTGGCCTTGCACCTTTGGGAGGAGTCCAGTGATGAATGCCATCTGATGCCTGCAGCAGTAGAAACTCAATTGTACTGTTGTCCACCTTGGGAATAAGGCGTCTTCGGAAGATGATCAAGCCACATGCTCTCAGAGCCATGGTCTATCTGAGAATTTAACAAAGAAGCAGAACATTGGGAAATGATACAAAACAGGAAGATCCAAGCTGAGGGGTAGCACTCTGGTGCTGGGCAGTAGCATAGACTAGCTAACAGTGATCTAATAACCCATAATAAAAGCAGCATACCAAGGGCCAATGGAGGGACTCCAAGAACCAGAGACAGACCTTTGTGTGTCACTGCAGGACCCTGTCATTTACCCTCAGTCAGTGTGGCCTCTACCTCAAGCCTCCAGGTCTCCCTACAATACTCATGGTTTGTGTATATTTGTTATGAGACTGGAGAACCTCAGAAGCAATTCTAATGAAACAAGAGAGATGCTGGACCTGAGAGAGGATGGAGTACAAGTATTATTATCAAACCCACAATTGTATTTTCCTTAACCTATATCCTAAACCCCTGAAGCAAAGAGACCCCAACAATGTGATTTTTGATGATTCAGAAAAGTCAACTGGACAAGTAGCTTGGTATATCAATTTTTTTTTTTTAACAGTACTGGGCTTGAACTCAGAGCCTACACCTTGAGCCACTCTACCAGCTGTTTTTTTGTGATGAGTTTTTTTGAAATAGGGTCTTGCAAACTATTTGCCCAGGCTGACTTCGAACCACTATCCTCCTGATCTCTGCCTCCTAAGGGGCTAGGATTATAGGTGTAAGCCACTGGCGCCTGGCTCCAAAACATTTTTTGTTATTTTTTTGTTGTTGTTTATTTTATCCATGTTCTTGAATGTGTTATACATTCATATGGTCCAAATCCAAAGTACAAAAGGGAAAAAATAGTAGGAAGTCTCTTTCTCAGCCTAGCAGAGGCAAGCTAGGATGGCAGAGCCTAGGTTTAGCTGACACTCATTAGCTGTGTGAATTCTTGTGCTTCAAGTTTCCTTACCTGAGATGGAACGATAACAGTTCTACCTGAAAGGGCTGCTATGAGAATCACATGATTTAGTTTTTGTAAAGTGCTTTACAACAGTGCCATATACATAATAAGCACTCGATAGATTTCTGTGTGTGTAGAAAAATTTCTAGAAGGATATAGCTCATTAATAGTGGTTTCTGGAAGATAAGAAGGGAAGCTTTCATCTTCTATCCCACATATTTCTGTACTGTTTGTAATTTTACAAAGAACATTTATTTTATAATCAGTAATATTTTTCCATTAAAAAAGACAACATCAAAAGGCAAGAAAGGGAGAAAAGAATACCTGCATAAGTGAAAAGAATGTCTGTCACCTGAAGGGGCACATGTAATCAAGGTAACAAAAATGTGCAACATTTTCTATGTAAGACCCTGTCATTCACTCATTCAATGACTACTGAGCACCTACTGTGTGCAGTTGTTCCTTAATATCCAAGTGATATTTGTTTCAAGATCCCCTTGGGGATACCAAAATCCATAGATGCCAAGTCCCTTATATAAAAATGACCTAGTATTTGCATATGCACATCTCCTTCATACTTTGCATCATCTCCAGATTGCTAATAATATAAAATACAGTATAAATGGTATGTAAATGGTTGCTGAACTGTATTGTTTGGGGAACAATGAGAAGAAAAAAGTCTATACATGTTTAGTACAGACACAACTTTAAAAAAAAATACTTTTGATCTGAGCTGGATATGGTGGCTCACATCCTATAATCCCAGCTAGTCTGGAGGCAGAAATCAGGAGGACTGTGGTTCAAGGCCAGCTGGGGCAAAAAGTTATTGAGACCCCCTCTCCCATCTCAACAAATAAAGCTGGGTATGGTGGTAGGCTCCTGTCATCCCAGCTATGCAAGAGGCATAAATAGGAAAACTGTTATCTCAACCGGCCTGGGCAAAAATGAGACCCTATTTCCAAAATGGCTGGTGGGTGGCTCAAGTGCAGAGCAGGCTGGAGCTCCTGAGTTCAAACCCCCATACCACTGTTAGAAACATCAGAGACACTGCTGCGATCACAAATTAGACACGTGCTCTAAAGTTGATGGGCAAGGCAAAATTTACTTCTGTAGAAGGGTGTGTGTATGGTTCCGACCTAAATCAGGCGAGCCAGCACACACTGGGCAGAACCACCTCAGTTTTTGTCCCTAACACAGGACTGCCCCTTTGCTCTAACGGAGGAAGCTCGGGTTCACAGTCATTGTGTCTAAGGTTGAGGTTTAGGGGAGGGCTTAGGGGAAGAACAGACATGATTGGAGAACATGGACATGAAACTTAATTTGACTGGTGTACTCAAAGACAAAGAGGTGACTCATAAGGCGGGAATTTCAGGATTTTGGGGAAACTGAGGCCTGAAATGACTGTTTGACCTGAAACAGCAGCACCAAGTATAATTAACCTGTGTGCCAAGGGGACCTAGAAGCAGAGATTTCTTTGGACAATGATTATCCAAAAGTAGTATTTGAGTTTTAGGACATCCGATGACAAACAATTCTTTGTTTAAAGACAAACTTTATAGCTAAGTGACATGCCACTGAACACATAGACAACTGGGAAAATTAGCCAATATCCAGACAATGACAGACATATTCCATATACTAGGGGGAGGAAATGGGGTCAAACCCACAATCCTGAGATTAAGTCTCTATTGACTGAACTAGCTGTTTGACAGAAAAGACCCAATTTAGTTGATTCCCATGCTACCAAAAGGCAAACAAAAAACAACCACTCCCTCTCAACTTTTGGTTTGTGTTTGATTGAATCTATGATAAGGAGGGCTGACTCTACTGTAAGTACCATGCTATGCCTTTGCCCTCACACAACTAATAATCTCAAAGGACAGACAGACTCTAGTCAAAAAAGCAAATTAAAAATAATTACAGGGGGGAGAGGGAGGGGGCGGAGTGGGTGGTAAGGGAGGGGGTGGGGGCATGGGGGAGAAATGACCCAAGCGTTGTATGCACATATGAATAATAAAACAATAATAAAATAATAGTAATTACAAACAAGATAACATGCTACAGAAGAAAAACATGTGATAGGTAACCCGACTTTGTCTGAGGAAACACAAAAGGCTTCCTGAAAGAAGGGATGTTTGAGCAGAAGAGTAAAGGCTGAGTCAAAAGTAAGTCAGTAAAAGGAAGAAGGGGCAAGAATGTGTTCCAGGTGGAGGGTAACACCATGGGCAAAGGCCTAAGGTGGGATGGTGATGGTGGAGCCAAAAAAAAAAAAAAAAAAAAAGACAGCTGCTGTCCTCCTCCAGCCCCCTTATTGGTGCTCAGTCAAGATGAGCTTGTGACAGTCAAAGGCATAAAACTCAGACCCAAACTGAAACCTTTGAGGGCAATTCTCAGGACAGCCAACAGATGGTAATGTTACTTTAGGGAAGAGAAGTTTCTTAACAAAAATCTAACACAAAGACCTTCCTAAACCTCTTTTCTTTCTTTGTAGTACTGGGGATTGAAACCACTAGGGAAGTGCTTTGCCACACAGTTACATCCCCAGCCACCCAAATATTTCTAAATCTGTAAAAAGAGTTTTTAATGCTTAGAAATGAACTCAAAGAGGGGTTCTGAAATGGTCTGCCTCTCATATGTTATTGGTGGAAGAGTAAATTAGCATATCCCTGAAGGAAGGCAATTCAGTAAAAATTATCAAACATTCTCTTAAACCCAGCAATTTCATTTCTAGGCATGCTAACATACAGAAATACATGTTAAGATGTTTAAACAAAGATGTTCGCTACAAAATTGCAATATCAAAAAGAAAAGAAGAAACAAATATTCATCAATATAGGAATGGTTAAAGTGTAGCGTGTGTGTGTGTGTGTGTGTGTGTGTGTGTGTGTGTGTGTGTTAGAACTGAATGTGCTCCCTGTAACAATAGATTTTCAGGCATCTTAAGAGGAAAGAAAGTATGCTTCAAAATAGTATATATAATGAGATCTTTTTTGAGTCACAAAATTTATATGTAAAGCAGTAGTAGGTTTTTATTAAACACCATGTTCTATTTTCCCGGATTCTCTATTTATGCTGAGAACTTTCCCCATTCTGGAAACCAGAAGGAAGCAACTTGTCACTGTAGAACTGGTGAACAAAGATTTCAAATTTCTGGCTCATAGTTCAGGTAGAAACAGAAACTGATCCCATGACTTTCCTAAAAAGATGATCAAAAAGTGTTAAAAAGTGATAGATTTAGGGTACCTTGCTCATGGCTTTGGAGGAACCCTATGGAATGAATATTGGAAATACTAGATTAGTAGAGGGCACAGGACTAGAAGGCACAGAACCCTGCCAAAGACAGGAAGCCTGAGTATGCCTCCATACCACTACCACAACTGATACCTCATGAGAAAACAAAGATGGCTGATGAGGGACTTGAAAGATAGGCCTTGAGTGGCCAAGGGGAGTCACTGGGAAGAGGACAAGGAAAGGCGGAGGTGGAGAATCTCAGGGTACTGACAGTGTAGCAGGTACTCAGAAACTGTTTTTGCTGAAAAGCACTGACTCCTCACTTGGGCTCATGAATTAACTAAAAGCAGAAGAAAAGCTTGGCATTCCTGTCTCCATTTTGTATCTGTCTCCTTTACTCTGAGTTTCTCCCCTACAATCACCTTGGGTTCCAGGAAAGACTGGATTGATCAGTAACATCTTTATGACCAGATCACAAAATTAGCCCCCCTCCCCAAGGAAAGGATCAGCGGGTTCTCCAAATGAAGCACCCTGCCCCCTAAATGAAGACAATTACCTATAATGAGGAGGCTGTACCCTGGAGCAGGAGTAACATCTCATGGGAACCAGACTGACCTCTTTAAGTAATGACAACAATAATAATGTCTCTGGAACCCCTCACAGAGCCAGAACCGGGATAATGATTAACCAGGCCACACTCTGCCTGCACTGTTTAATTATGATGCACACCTTTCACCAGCCCCCCCCCCCCCCCCCGCCCCGCCCTGATTCTTCTCCTATTTAAACCTACAGCTCAAGACTGCGCCCTGAAGACAGGTGACATGGCTACTCTGCCTCTTCCCATGGAATGCCTATGCCGTATGAATAAATATCCTTCCTC